GGCATAATTACATTTTTTAGCAAATAACTCGAGCTCTATGAAAACTTTGTTTTGATGTCATATTTGCCGTAGGCAGGAAGAAATGTGCTTCAAAAGACACAAGTTTGCAAGCAATGGATGTGATAAAGCAAAAGGAGACCGGAATGGCCATTTCTGACTTGTCATCTGTCATCAGTCAGTCATACCCAATCTCAAGGGTTAGAACCACGAGATTTGATACGAAATATTATGTTTATAATTCAACCTCAAAATTCTATTTACATTTATTTGTCGAAATCACAGCGATTTTTCTCCTCTTCTGTACTTTCCAGGTGACCGTTTTTGGTTCTATGCACCAATTCCGGCCCTACAGGAGTTTAAAACGCGCAAGAACAATTATTGGCCGGCTTCTGTGCCTCGGAGCTCTATCTAGAGTAATCGCAGGCTCTAGTGTCACAACACGCATGGGAGATTGCCAGTTACATAATATCTGACTACTAACGCATATTTAGTAGCAACAAGAATAAAGCTTTTCAGAAGAAGAAAATGCGATCGCTGGAATAAGAGTTTTATTTGCCTGACGTTTCGGATTCCGTCGGGAATCCTTACTCATAGGTGATGGTAACGTAGTCATGGTCATGCGCGGATAGGGATAGGACCATTTTCGGTTTGAATAATATCTAGCTACTAACACATAGTTAGTAGCAACAATAATAAAAAGGTTCCTCAAGTCTAAACTCACAACCCATTCTTCGAGTTTGGCTGACACCAGAGGACAGAAACGATTGTTGTAGTCCATTATCTTTTCGCCATTTCGTCAGCACGAACACCGGTGATAGGTCACTTGGTTAAAACTACTACAGAATTGGCTGCGCCGTCTTGAAGAGTAATTTTTATAGTAATCCTAATATTTAGGAATTATTTCTACGTACAGATTACGGGAACTCGCAATAAGCCAGCGTGGACCATATTAGGCGTGCCATAGGAGTCGAAGATTGGGGATCGTTTAATGGTTCACAGAGATGTGGGTCTTGCCGGTGTCAGCAGACCAGGAAATCGAGTAGTCGGTGATTCGACCTCGACTGAATTACTCCGCAGAACTTCTGCCTGGAGTTCAATCGGCGTAGGCCTTCGCGTAGTTATGAAAAATTAGTCACAAATATATGCTCACTTATGTACAGATAACAGGATGAACCGATGAACGTCAGCGATTTGACCTCACACATCTGCGATTTTGGCCATACCGTGCAGGTCCCGTAGCACAATTGCTTAGAATGTGAGATTTCAAATCTTGGTGCACTTTTGTTCAAACGTTAAGAAGACAGCACCCGGGAGTCTATGTTTCGCTAGTTTGCTGCTGGCCTGTACGACAAGAATGGCCGCTTAAATGTCCCTTATCAATCAGAGGGCATTTCACTTGAGATGGACTTGGAGAATTCGAAGAAGAACATAACAAACACTTTGTACACGCTTGCATGTTAGGCGGCAGGGCGTCGATTCTCAGTGTCGTCGAACCAAACCGACGAGCTTTACCATCGCAGACGTTTTAGCGATGCAGAAGGGGATCATTGTGTCCAGAGGTGCTCTAGTCCTTCCAAAATGGCCCCTGATGGCAAAGGATATCGCGCTATCTGGTGTTGGTTTTACTGCAGGGTACCATAATTATTCGGATTTTTACACCAATCTCACTGAAACCGCCAATCTAACACCAGAAACCCCAAGTT